AGGAAGGAAGGAAGGAAGGAAGGAAGGAAGGAAGGAAGGAAGGAAGGAAGGAAGGAAGGAAGGAAGGAATATTGGTTTGTTCCAAAGAGAGAAGCAAGGACCTTAGGCCAGCGTCCTCCCAGACTCCCTTGAACTAAACTCATGTCTGTGATGTGTGACTCACACATTTGATGGACGGCGGCCCTAGCACAGGGAGCTCCCCTCCCCAGGCCGCGGTCCTTCCTGCCGCCCTCAGTCTCCTTCCCCATGCTTCGGCAAGAGACCACTGGTTCTGGGGAGACCGCACAGGGCCAGGCTCCTGCTCCTTCAGGGCTTGGACTTGGGGGTCACCCCCACATGGAGATGCTCAAGGGGAGCCCCACCTACCTTACAGGAGACTGCTGGCTGCTGGCCGCCATTGGCTCCCTTGCTACGTGCCCCAAGCTGCTGTACCGTGTGGTGCCCAAAGGCCAGAGCTTCAAGAAAAACTATGCCGGGATCTTCCATTTTCAGGTGAAATGTGAGTGTGTGTGTGAGTGTGTGTGTGTTTGAATGTGTGTGTGTCTCCGGGAGACAGAGACTCCTGCCTTGCCTCCCACAGATCTGGCAGTTTGGGCAGTGGGTGGACGTGGTGGTGGATGACCGTCTGCCCACCAAGAACTACAAGCTGGTGTTCGTGCACTCATCCCAGCGCTCGGAGTTCTGGAGCGCCCTGCTGGAGAAGGCATACGCCAAGTGAGTGCCTGGAGCTGGAACAGGGCCCTGAGGCATCAAGAGAGGCAAAAGGGTGCCAGAGCTTCCCTCCCTTCCTTCCCCCCCACTCCAGAGCTTCCCTCCCTTCCTTCTCCCCCCCCACTCCAGAGCTTCCCTCCCTTCCTTCTCCCCCCCAATCCAGAGCTTCCCTCCCTTCCTTCCCCCCCCCAGGCTCCCACCTCCTCCCCCAGACCCTAGCAGTGCCTTCTTTGCACCCCCAGACTGAACGGGTCTTATGAAGCATTGTCTGGGGGCAGCACAACTGAAGGCTTTGAGGACTTCACGGGAGGTGTGGCCCAGAGGCTCCAACTCCAGAGCCCGCCTCAGAACCTGCTGAGGCTCCTGCGGAAGGCCATTGAGCGATCTTCCCTCATGGGCTGCTCCATCGAGGTACGCCACTCCCAGTTCTGCCTCTGGGCCTTTGCACCTACTGAGACTTGCCTGGACGACTCTCCCCCCCCTCTGCCCCCCCCCCCATCTTCATCTAGCTCTTGTCATTCCCATTTCCATCCAGCTGCCTCTTTCTCAGACCCGCCTCCCAATCGCCAGTGGTTGTCTCCATCTGGTATATGGATTATTTTGTTTTGATTTTCTCCTCTACTTTTATTGAGACCTGAATTTTTTTTGGGTGGAGGGAGGGAGGTTGGTTATAGGGGCTTGAACTCAGAGTCTGGGCCCTGTCCCTGAGCTTTTTCGCTCAAGGCTAGTGCTCTACCACTTTGAGCCATAATGCTACATTCAGTTTTCTGATGGTTAGATGGAAATAAAAGTCTCAGGGATTTTCCTGCATGAGTTTTGAACCATGACCCTCAGATCTCAGCCTCCTGAGTGACTAGGATTACACATGTGAGCCATCAGTGCCCAGCTGACCTGAAATCTTTTGCTTTTCTCTGACTTTATTCATAGCTATCTTCTTCAGATAGATAAGAGACGGTTCCATAAGTCTAGTGACCTTATTTACCCTGGACAAAGCCCAGATGCAAGAGGCTGCCACAAATACTGGTTCAAGTAAATAAACACGGAATGCCACCCTACCACCAAGCATTGCAGGGATGTAATCACTGCAGTCATTGATTACAGACAAATGAAGACAAGTGTCCCCATATACCATGTATACAAATGCTTACAACTTTACCCCCTCACAGTAAAAATAGCCAACCATCTAGATGTCCTTCTGCAGAGGAACGGTTAAACAAACGATGGTAATCATTACACACCATGGAATACTACTGAAAAGGACAAAAGGAATAACAATTGAGAGAGACCTGCAATAATCAGGACAGATCCCAAGACTGTGAAATAGAATGCAAGAAGCCATCCCCAAAAGACTTCCCACCGCATGCTTCTCCATTTGTGTGATCTTGAAACAGCAAAATAATAGAGAGGGGAAACACATGAGTGAGTGTCTGGGGCTAGGACAGTAGAGTAGTTGAGAAGAGGGACACATGGTTATAAAAGGATCAACTGTGGTGGTGAAAACTACACATGTGGGGCTGGGAAGGTGGCTCAGTGGTAGAGCGCTTGCCTTGCATGCATGAGGCCCTGGGTTCGATTCCTCAGCACCACATAAGCAAAAAGAAAGAAGCCAGAAATGGCGCTGTGGCTCAAGTGGTAGGGTGCTAGCCTTGAGCGGAAGAGCTGAGGGACAGCGCCCAGGCCCAGAGTTCAGGCCCCACGACCGGACCCAAAAGAAAAAGAAAAAGAAAACTACACATGTAGGCTGAGCACAGTGCTTTGTGCCTGTAATCCCAGCTACTTGGGAGGCATAGGCAGGAAAACAGTTTCAAGGGTAGATATCAAGATCTCATCTGGAATGTGGCTTAGAGGTGGAATACTTGCCTTATGAAGCCCTGGGTTCAATTCCTCATAAACAAAAAAAGCTGGAAGTGACGCTGTGGCTCAAGTGGTAGAGCGCTAGCCTTGAGCACAGAGAGGCTCAAGGACAGTGCCCAGCTGAGTTCAAGCTCCAGGACCAGCAAAAAAAAAAAAAAAAAAAAGATCTCATCTCAGCCAATAAAAACGGTGTGAACTGGGCACCAATGGCTCTCACCTGTAATTCTAACTATTCAGGAGGCTAAGATCTGAGGATTGCAGTTCAAAGCTAGCTGGGTAGGAAATCCATGAGTCTCTTATCTCCAATTAACCACCAGAAAACCAGAAGTGGCGCTGTGGCTCAAGTGGTAGCGTGCTTGCCTTGAGCTGAAGAGCTGAGGGACAGCACCCAGGCCCAGAGTTCAAGAGCCACGACCAACAAAAAAAACCAGCTGGGTGTGGTGGTAAACATCTGTGATTCCTCCGTATTCAAAAGATAAATAGGAGCCAGGAGCCCTTGGCTCATGCCTGTAATCCTAGTTACTCAGGAGGCTGAGATCTAAGGATCACAGTTCAAAGCCAGCCTGAGCAGGAAAGTCTGTGAGACTCTCATCTCTAATGAACCACCAAAAAGCCAGAAGCAGAGTTGTGGCTCCAATGGTAAAGGGCTAGCCTTGAGTGAGAAAGTTCAAGGATAGCGTCCAGGCCCTGAGTTCAAGTCTCCCAGGACTGACAGACAAACAACCCAGAGAGTTCTCAGCCTGGTTGGGGAGCCCAGGCCTGACCACGAATGCTGTTCCTCCCTCTCTGTCCCGCAGGTCAGCAGTAACAGTGACTTGGAGTCCATGACAGAGAACATGCTGGTGAGAGGACACGCCTACGCGGTGACCGGCCTGGAGGACGTGAGCACTGGCCCCTCCCCAGACCGCCTGGAGAAGGAGGAGGAGTCGGGTCTCCCCCTCCCTGAGCCTCCTTTCATGACTCCCCCAGGTCCTATACAGAGGCAAGATACAAACTCTGATCCGGGTCCAGAATCCCTGGGGCCGAATCGAGTGGAATGGAGCCTGGAGTGACAAGTAGATCCCCTGAGCTGGGGCGGGGGGGGGGGGGGGAGATGACACAGCACAGCCCATGAATGAGGCTCTGTCTGGGGCTGGGGCCAGTCTTCCCCGGGACCTCAGGAGATGGCCACTGGGGAACCAGGGCATCCTTTGGGGAGAGAGGAGATATGCTGGCTGTGCCCCTCCTTCAGCACTCTCTGTCTGTCTCTCTGAAGTGCCAGGGAGTGGGAAGAAATTGATCCCGTGATCCAGTTACAACTGATGCATAAGAAAGAAGATGGGGAATTCTGGTCAGTGAGATGTTGGGTTTTTGGGGGGAGGGCGTGCGTCTAGCTCCCCCCACCGATGACCATGATCACCTGCTCGGCCACCCTCCAGGCTGTGGCCGCTGGGTGGGGACAGGGTGGGCTGACAGGCGGGGCCTGCCTGTCCCCCTGCAGGATGTCCTACCAGGATTTCCAGAGAAACTTCACCCTCCTGGAGATCTGCAACCTCACCCCCGACGCGCTCTCCGGGGACTCCAAGAGCTACTGGCACACAGCCCACTATGAGGGCAGCTGGCGGAAGGGCAGCACAGCGGGGGGCTGCAGGAACAACCCCAGTGGGTGATGACACGCGGGCAGGAAGGGAGGGAGGGGCAGGGGGCTCCCCCTACACACATGGGGTGAAGGGCCCAGGATCAGGGCCCATGAGGACAGGCCATTCCCTGTGAAGGGGACAAACAGACCCGTGCTGGGCCAGCTTTGTTCTTCCAGTAGAGCCCAGGCCAAGCCCAGCCCAGCCCTCCCCACCTGCTTCCTCCACAGGTACCTTCTGGACCAACCCCCAGTTCAGGATGTACCTCCAGGAGGATGACCACCAGGAGAAAGAGGACAAGGTGGTCTGCACCTGCCTGGTGGCCCTCATGCAGAAGACCTGGCGACGCGCACGCCCCCAGGGGGCGCAGCTGCTGACCATTGGCTTTGTCATCTTCCCGGTGGGCCCCCAGCCTCCCTCATCCCTTTATTATTTTATTTTATTTTGCCAGTCGTGGGGCCTGAACTCTGGACCTGGGCACTGTCCCTCAGCTCTTCAGCTCAAGGCTAGCACTCTACCACTTGAGCCACAGTGCCATTTCCGGCTTTTCTGCTTATGTGGTGCTGAGGAATCCAACCTAGGGCCTCATGCATGCAAGGCAAGCGCTCTACCACTGAGCCACCTTCCCAGCCCCCTCCCTGATCTCTTTAAGACTTACCTTCCTAGCTGGGCACTGGTAGCTCACACCTGTAACCCTAACTACTCAGGAGGAGACTGAGGTCTGAGGATTGTCTGAAGGCAGCCTGAGAGGAAAGTTCTAAAGATGCTTCCTCTGGCTTCGAGTGTGGGCTTAGTGGTAGAGTGCTTGCCTAGCACACAGGAAGCCCTGGGTTTGATTCCTCAGTACCACTTACACAGAAAAGGCTGGAAAGGGCACTGTGGCTCAAATGGTAGAGTGCTAGCCCTAAGCAAAAGAAGTTCAGGGACAGGGGCTGGGAAGGTGGCTCAGTGGTAGAGTACTTGCCTTGCATGCCTGAGGCCCTGGGTTCGATTCCTCAGCACCACATAAGAAAAAAGAAAAAAGCCGGAAGTGGCGCTGTGGCTCAAGTGGTAGAGCGCTAGCCTTGAGCTGAAAGCTGAGGAACAGCGCCCAGGCCCAGAGTTCAGAACCAGACCAAAAAAAAAAAAAACACACACACAAGAAGTTCAGGGACAGTGCCCAGGCCCTGAGTTCAAGCCCCAGGACTAGCAAAAAAAAAAAAAAAAGACTCTACCTCTAATCAACTACCAAAAAGTGGGAAGTGGAGCTGTGCCTCAGATGATAGAGCATTCTCCTTGAGAGAAGCAGCTACGAGATGGCACCCAAGCCACGAGCTCAAGCCCCGGTGCTGGCACCAAGAAACAACAACAGGGCTGGGAAGGTGGCTCAGTGGTAGAGCGCTTGCCTTGCACACATGAGGCCCTGGGTTCGATTCCTCAGCACCACATAAGCAGAAAAAAGCCAGAAGTGGTGCTGTGGCTCAAGTGGTAGAACGTTGGCCTCGAGCTGAAGAGCTGAGGGACAGCGCCCAGGCCCAGAGTTCAGGCCCCACGACTGACCCAAAAACAAAAACAACAACAACAACAAAAAATCCCACACAACAAAGAACACAACCAGTAACTCATCTTCCCCATGTGCTCTGCCCTCTGTGTCAGTGCTTTCTTAGGTCCAGGCCTGCTGAATGCTCACACTCTCCCTACATCCCACCCCTGGCCCCCTAGTACTGGGACTTGAACTTAAGGCCTTGAGCCCTTAGCTTTTTTGCTCAAGGCTAGAGCTCTGCCAGTTGAGCCACGCCTCCACTTCCAGCTTCTTGCTAGTGACTAGGATATGAATCTCACAGACTTTTGTGCCAACATTAGCTTCAAACCAAGATCCTCAGATCTTCTGAGTAGCCAGGATTCCAGATGTGAGCCACTGCACCCAGTTTGGGATCCTAGTTTCCATGTTTAACCTGAAGAGATAAAAATATTCCTTGACAGGGGAAGGGGAAAAACAAGTAGTTTAAATAAGGATACAGGTGGACCCATTGCAACAATGAGAAGTACAAGTTTTCATGTCGAAAACGAACTTTACAACTTTGGGGGGGGGGAAGGACTGGGTGGGGGGGGCGGGAGAGGCTGGGAAGGGATGGGAAGGGGAAACAAAGGAGGAGGCTACAATGCTTGATAAGAAATGTACTCATGCTGGGCGCTGGTGGCTCACGCCTGTAATCCTAGCTACTCAGGAGGCTGAGATCTGAGGATCGCGGTTCAAAGCCAGCCCAGGCAGGAGAGACCGTGAGACTCCTATCTCCAATAAACCACCAGAAAGCCGGAAGTGGCGCTGTAGCTCAAGTGGTAGAGCGCTTGCCTTGAGCTGAAGAGCTGAGGGACAGCGCCCAGGCCCAGAGTTCAAGCCCCACGACCGACAAAAAAAAAGAAAAAAGAAATGTACTCATTATCTTGCCCATGTAATTTTAACCCCTCTGTACAGTACTTTCACAATAAAAAAATTAAAAAAGGAGGAGGCAACAATGCTCAATAGGAAATATAATCAGTACCTTGCTCATGTAACTGTAACCAACCCCTCTAACAAGGATTTTTAAAATAAAAAAATACCAAAAAAATTCCTTGACAAAGCTTTCTGCAAACTGTAACTGTACTTTGCTCTTTGAACTCTACAGCTATTTAATGTTATCAGAGTCTACACCCCACCTTTCAAACACCCCAGAACACAAATACACATACATACATGTACAAGCACAAAATGCACATGTGTGTGCACACAGACACATACACACACTAGCATACACACTGTGCACACCTGCCCCAGCTTCTGCAAACCTGAGACCTCCCTACCACCCTGCATGACTGACCATTCTCTCTCCTCTTCCCAGGTCCCAAAGGAGGTACAGAGGACTTCCTCCCTGGCTGGCACTGACCCCTCCCCTGGCTGCAAGTGACTGACAAGGGGTGGGACTTGGGGGAGAAAAAAAAGACACTTTGAGAGGGGTTGGACATGGCTCAAGGGGTAGTTAGCGAGCAAAAGCATCACATTCTGAGTTTGAGTACTGTTTCTGCCCCCCCCAAAAAAAGGTGGGGCACTGGGAGTGTGACTTAGTGGTACAGTGCTTGCCTAGCATGCATGAAGCCCTGGGTTCGATTCCTCAGTACCACATACACAAAAGAAGTCGGAAGTGGTGCTGTGGCTCAAGTGGTAGAGTGCTAGCAAAAACAGCTCAGGGACAGCGCCCAGACTCAAGAGTTCAAGCCTCAAGCCTAGCAAAAAATCAAAAACAAAAACTGACAACAACCAACCTCCCCCCCTCCCCCCGGGGAAGCACTGGACTCAGCCCCATTGGGAGTCGGGGAAGGAAAAGACCACACGGGGGGGGGGTCAGTTGGGTGGCAGAGGTCCCAGACAGGTCGGTTGGTGGTGTCAGCAACCTTCCTCAGCAGGCCGCTCCCCTGGGGGAACCCTCTCTCCCTGTCCCCACCCCACCCCGCCCCAGCCCTGTACCAATCTCTAGGACACATGCAGTTTCAGAACATCCGGGATAGCCACTTGAAGAAAGGATTCTTCCAGAAGCATCCCGAGAACAGCTTGTCTGAGATCTACACCAACTCCAGGGAGGTGAGCAACCAGTTCCGGCTGCCTCCGGGCGAGTACGTCATCGTGCCCTCCACCTTCGAGCCCCACCAGGATGCCGACTTCCTGCTCCGGGTGTTCACGGAGAAACACAGCGAGTCCTGGTGAGTCAAGGCTGACCTCTCCATGCCCAGGCCCCTGCCAAGCTCAGCAAGCTGTCCTCCCGTCCTGCGCTTCTCCACGTGCAGGGAAACGGAAGCAGGGGAGGCCAAGGCCCAGTGAGTAGCAAATCAGAACCAGAAACTCCTAGACACCAGGTACTGGTGGCTCATGTCTGTAATCATAGCTTCTAGAAAGGAGGCTGAGATCTGAGGAGAGCTGTTCAAAGCCAGCCTAGGTAACAAAGTCAGAGAGAATCTTATCTCCAGCAAAAAGCTGGAAGTGGAGCTGTGGCTCAAAGTGGCACCAGCCTGAGTGAAAAAGATAGGAAGCACAAGGCCCTGAGTTCAAACTCCATTCTTTCTGTCTCTCTCTGTCTCTATCTCTGTCTGTCTGTCTCTCTCTCTCTCTCATACATATACACACACATACACAAACACCTACCTAGTGCCTAAGGAACAGACGACCAGAAACAGCCCAAGAGCTTGTGAGGCAAATGGGGACTTACCAATCAAAGAAGCTCAAGTGGTAGAGTGCAACCTTGAGAGAAAAAGCAGAAGGATATTATTGTCTGGCCCTTAAGTTCAAGATCCAGTAGTGGGCTGGGAAGGTGGCTCAGTGGTAGAGTGCTTGCCTTGCATGCATGAGGTCCTGGGTTCAGCACCACATAAGCAGAAAAAGCCAGAAGCGGCGCTGTGGCTCAAGTGATAGAGCACTAGCCTTGAGCTGAAGAGCTGAGCTGACAAAAAAAAAAAAAAAGACCTCGTAGTACTGGCACACACAAAAAGAATGAATGGGAAAAATGAAAGAGAGGGAGGGAGGAAGGGAGGGAGGGAGGAAGGGAGGAAGGAAGGAAGGAAGGAAAGAAGGAAGGAAAAACCGATGCCAGTGCTAGTAGCTCACACCTGTAATCCTAATCAAAGTGGTGGAGTATTAAGCCTGAGCACAAGAGCTCAGAGACAGCACCCAGGCCCTGAGTTCAAGCCCCACAAAAGAAAGAGAGGGGGCTGGGAATGGGGCTTAGAGGTATGAAGCCCTGGGTCCAATTCCTCAGTACCACACACACAGAAAAAGCTGGAAGTGGCGCTGTGGCTCAAGTGTTAGAGTGCTAGCCTTGAGCAAAAGAAGTTCAGGGACAGTGCCTAGGCCAGGCCCCAGGACTGGCAAAAAAAAAAAAGAAAAGGAAAAAAAGAGAGGGAGGGAAGGGAAAGGGAAAGAGAGAAGGAAAGAAAGGGAAAGGAAGGCCTAGAACAGAGATGCTATGAAGCTGTTCCATACTGTCCCTGCCCTCCCCCTCATCACCCCCAAAGCACCCATCCCCCAAACCTTCCACACTTGTAAGCCTCCCCTCCCTTCTTCACAGGGAACTGGATGAAGTCAACTATTTGGAGCAGCTCCATGAGGTAGTAGAGACCAGGAGCAGGGAGGTTGGGAGGAAATGGGGTGGCGGTGGAGATGGGTTTTTGGACGTGGCCCCCTTTCCCACAGCCTGCACCCCAGGAGATGGGCTTTGACAAGGACTTGGATCCGGACATCATTGAGTTGTTTAACATAGTGGCAGGCGAGGTGAGAGAGGACTGTGGGCTGAGGCTGAAGGGTGGTGGTGGCTTCTGGCTGAAGGGGCTGGAGCAAGGGCTTATGGTCCTTCTTCGTAGGACAACGAAATAGACATGTATGAGCTACATAACCTGCTCAGCAAACTGCTGGACAGACGTGAGTGCTCCCTCCCCACCCCCACAGCCTTCTCCCGTGGGTAGATCTGGCCCCTTTTTGACAGACACTTTTCCCCACCCCTTCCTTCCTTCACAGTCAAGTCCTTCAAGACCCATACCTTTGGCTTGGATGCTTGTCGCCGTATGATCAACCTCTTGGATGTATCTTCCTGTCCAGTGCTTTCCCCACCCCCCAGCCTGGCCCAGATATCACCACTTCTCTCACCAGCCATGTCCCCCTTGGGTCCGGAGTAGCAAAGATGCCCCCCCTCCCCTCCCCCGGGTGAGTCCCTCTTGAACTTCCCTGCTCCAGCTCGCCTCTGCTATCCTTGACCCCTCCCCAGAAAGATAATTCAGGCAAGCTGGGGTTTCTGGAGTTCCAGATCCTGTGGGAAAAGCTCAAGAAATGGACGGTAAAGGGCACCCACAAGCCATGTGTGGGAATGAGAAAAGGGGGTCCTAGAGAGGTGCAGACTAGCAAGGATGGCGCTCGATCTGCAGCCCCTGACTTGGAATGGGTCTGTGGGTGGATGGCCCCTTGGGAGGAGGCCTGCAGAAAGCCCTGGGTGTGGCAGCAGAGGGTCCCCTGCCAGACTTGAAGCCCTGCTGGGGCTGGCTCTGGGGCTCAGGGGCAGGTGAGTGGGAGGGAACCGCTGTTGTGAGTGAACCAGCCCTGCTGCACCGTGTGGCCTCAGGACATCTTCCTAGAATGTGATGTGGACCACTCCGGCACCCTGAACTCCTACGAGATGCGCTCGGCCATCGAGAAAGCAGGTGGCCAGAGGGCAGGAGAGGGTTTGGGGCCAGGCTGGGGGAAGGCAATGCCCAGGGGCCTGGACTCAGCCTCTCCTGGCTCCTCTGTTCCCCAGGCATTAAGGTTAACAACAAGGTGGCTCAGGTGCTGGTGGCTAGGTATGCAGATGACAACATGACTGTGGACTTTGACTGCTTCATCAACTGCTTCTTGAGGCTGAAGGCTATGTTCAGTGAGTTCAGTGAGACTTCTGCCCCTTCTCAGGGATGCTGGCCCTCTCCACCACACGCGTGTGCGCGCACACACACACACACATACACACACACCCTAAGGAGGAGTGCTGACCCAGAGGCACTCACCCATATAGGGCACACTGGGCTGGAGTAGACCCCTGGGGCTGAGCCTCCATTGCTGGGGAGCTAGTGAGGATAATGTGGATAATGTGGGCATGGGGCGCACACCCATAATCCCAGGATTGGGAGGCTGAGGCAGAAGGCTGGTGAGTTTGAGGCCAGCTTAGGCTATATAGGGAGTTCTTGCCTCAAATTTAAAAAAAAAAAAAAAAAGGATCCTGTTTCAGGACTGAGATACAAAGTAAACGAGTTAAGTCTATAGAAAGTGCTCAGAACCAGAGCTCTGAACCCCTCTTTCGGGCCTCCTCCCCAAATCAGCATTCTTTCTGACCACGGACTCCAAGAACACAGGCTATATTCAGCTGGACCTGCAGCAGGTTGATGGGGAAGGGTGGGGAGGAGGGAGAAGCGGGAGGGGCCGCGCGCCTCTCAAAGATGGCCCCGCCCCAGGGACGGCTCCGCCCCAGGGATGGTCCCTTCTCACCCGTGGCCCCGCCCCGAAGGTGGCTCCGCCCCAGAGCCCCTCACTGGTGACTCCGCCCCCTCTGCCCCGCCCCCCGCCCGTCTGCCCCCTCCTTCCTCTCGCGCAGTGGCTGCTGGTAACCATGTGGGGGTAGGCGCGGCCCCGGCCCGGCTCTCTCCCGCCCGCCTTCCGCCCAGGCCCGCGACGCCTCGCCCCTCCGGGCCGCCCCGCTGTCTGCTGGTGGATGGGACCACGAGGCGGCGTCCGAGCCCCAGATACCACTTTCCCGGCCGGAGGGACCGTGTTCCCTCCAGCCCCGTGCCCTCTCTGAGAGTGCTGTGCGTTGTGTTGCTTACCAGAAATGAAGTGACTCTTCTCTCCCGCGTTTGTCTGGCTGGGAAGGGCAGGGGTCGTCGTCCACTTTGCTGAGCAGCCCCCTCCCCCGTCGCTCTCCCGCGGACGTGCCACTGGCCGCCCAGCTCTGGGGAGGACTGGCGGGGGTGCAGATCACTTTCTGGGCACCCCCCCTCCCGGGACGCTGGCGGGTCCGCCTGTCCCGGTCACTCGGGGGCGCTGCCGGCCTTGTGCAGCGTCTGGCTCTGTGGGTCAGGACTGGCGCAGTGAACCGAAGGATGGAGCGGGGCGGGGGAGGGGCTGCCCCCTACGGCCTGCACCCCGCTGGCACGCCTGGGGGCCCCACGACCCGGAGTCTCCTTGCTGATCACAAACTGGAGTCCCCAGGAGGGTCTCAAAGTCAAATCCTGACACCTGCAGCCGGTAGCCATACCCTTCGAGGGCTCTGCCGAGGGAGGAGTTTGAACTCAGGGCCTCTGCCATTTGAGCAAGTCTCCAGCAGAATGGGCCCTCCATCCACCGATTCTTAACCTTGGAGTGTGTGCCAGATGCGTCCTACCTTACTCCCAGCCCCGCCTCCTACCTTAGGGAGAAAACCCAGGCCCGGGGCCCCACAGGAGCCCCTTCTGTCCCCGACCTCTCCACGCTGCCCGTTTGGCCTCTGGCAGGGACATTGGGTGAGAAAGCAGACACAGCACTCTGGGCCCCCTTTCCCTTAAATGAGTCCTTCCCAACTCCCCTTTCTCTAGGTGTAACTCCTCCAGTTTCTGGAGAGGCTGTTCCAGCCCCCCCATCCCTCTCCCTCCCCCCAGGCCTGGCAGAGGGGGTTGCTGGGATCCCCCCCCTCCTCCCGCCCATCTTTCTGTCTTTCTCATTTCAAAGGCCTAATCTAGTCAGCCTGGGTAGAAAGCCGCCCCCTCCCTCACGTGACTGCCCTCCCACTGCTGCCTCTCTGGGTTCCTTTCCCCTGTCTGAGTCTCTTCTTCTTCGTGCCCAGATCTTTCTTTTTTCTTATCCAGTCTGGGTTCTAACCACGCTCCTCAGATCTCAGCCTCCTGAGTAGCTAGGATGACAGGCGTGAGCCACCAGCACTGAGTCCCCACTCCATCTCTTGAATCTTGCCCACCAGGTCCCTGGTTTCCTTCCTTCTCCATGTAAGTTTTTGATTAGCGTACTCAGAAAGAAAATACCAAACACACACACACAGGGCCAGTGGCTCATGGCTGTAATCCTAGCAATTCAGGAAGCTGAGATCTGAGAATCCTGGTTCAAAGCCAGCCCCGACAGGAAAGTAGTCTGTGAGACTCTTATCTCCAATGAACCACCAGAAAACCGAAAGTGGTGCTGTGGCTCAAGTACTAGAGTGAGCGCCCTGAGCTGAAGAGCTCAGGGACAGTGCCCAGGCCCAGAGTTCAAGCCCCAAAACCTAAAAAAAAAAAGAAAAAATACCAAATACTATAGGAATCACATTGAATTCCTAGATTAATTTGGTGAACAAACATGTTTACACCACTTTATCATATACTTTTCCTGGACCATCCACCCAGGTCTTCCCTCCCTGTCTCCCTGCTGCACCCCCCACCCCCCTGCGGGGGATGATAAAGTGTTTGCTTTTTCCCTTTAGGGTCTTGCTCCATTTTTGAAATTCCTTTTCTGGGGGCGTTTGGTTTGTGTGGCTCTCCCTACCCACATGCAGTATGTGCAGTATGCCCTTCCTGTGCCCTCCTCCAGCCTGTTGTTCTGGGAACAGCTGTCCGGAGCGACAGGTGACAGTCAGATGGAGGCATGGCCCAAGGGTGTAGGGTTTACACCTCATCCTGTCTAGGGTGGGTGACAACTGTTTCAGTGGGGACAATAGCTTGCATTCTCTACAGCCTCCTCTCCAGGGCAGAGCAGCTGCCTCATGGATAGAGCAGGACTCCACCTGTCAGCTCTGGACAATGTCCCTAGCCACATTTTCTCATGTTTCACAAACACCTATAGTATGTTGCCATCTTGCCATGTGTTCACTGCCTGGAATTGGGGGTGGAGGGGAGGTGGAGAGTGTGACTCCAGAACGTTTCTGGAGGGCTCCAAGGATCTAGAGAATGGACCAGGAGAAGACCTCAGGGCCAAAGCCACATAGGGAAAGCGAGGTGTGAGAACCACCAGCCAGCCATTCAGGAATAAAGGCGGTATTGATACTTGTTTAAAAGTATCCCAGCATTATTTGCTTTTCTCGTTCTCCACTGGGCCGGGACAGGGACATAAAGCAATGAAGCACAATGGCAGCGCCTCCTACCTTGCTCACAGGAGCCTAGGAACCCAACAAGCACATCTCCAGGAAAGACACTAATCCTGGGGGGAAAATATGTGATAAGGTAACTCCTTTAGCCATAGAAATGCTTGTCAAATAAAAATATTTACCTGGGCTGGGAAGGTGGCTCAGTAGTAGAGCGCTTGCCTTGCATGCCTGAGACCCTGGGTTGGATTCCTCAGCACCACAGCACCACATAAGCAAAAAGAAAGAAGCTGGAAGTGGCGCTGTGGCTCAAGTGGTAGAGCGCTAGCCTTGAGCTGAAGAGCTGGGGGACAGCGCCCAGGCCCAGAGTTCAGGCCCCACGACCAGACCCCCCCAAAAAAAATTTACCTTAAATAAGGAACTTGTCTCAGAGCATTTGTAAAGCCCTTTGTGTGTGTGTGTGTGTGTGTGTGTGTGTGTGTGTGTGCCCACATATCCATGCACATACACCAGGGCTGGAACTCAAGGCCTCATATTTAAATGCTCTACCACTGGACCCCCAACTCTACTAACTTTTTATTTATTTATTTATTTGCTGGTTAATTGGGCAATAAGAGTCCCTTGGAGCCGAGCACTGGTGGCTCACGCCTGTCATCCTAGCTCCTCAAGAGGCTGAGATCTGAGGATCACGGTTCAAAGCCAGCCTGGGCAGGAAAGTCTGTGAGACTCCAATAAACCACTAGAAAACCAGAAGTGGCGCTGTAGCTCAAGTGGTAGAGCGCTCGCCGTTAGCTGAAGAGCGCAGGGACAGCGCCCAAGCCCAGAGTTCAAGCCCCATGACCGACCACAAAAAAAAGTCTCTTGGATATGTCTGCCCAGGTTGGCTTGGAACTGTGATCCTCATATCTCAGCCTGCTGAGTAGCTAGGATGATAGAGGTGAGCCAGTGAGACCTAGCCCATCCTTTGTTTGAAGGAGAACAGACATCATCACAAAGAGAACAGACCCAAATTAACAAACAAACCAGACTCAACATCTCTAAGCCCACTGACAATGTCAAAACACCAGAACAACAAAAATGATCAAAACATAGCAGGTTTTGATCAAAGAAGACACTTACCTAAAGGAATGTTTAAATGTGCTGTTCTACTTTTTAGCATAAATACTCATATGGTAGAATAGTTACTGCCTTTTTCCACTCATGTCTGAGTGTATACTATCCTTTCCTAAGTAATTATCTATTAGTCTGCCCCCCCCCATCTTTCTCTTTCTCTTTCTCTGGTGCTGGAACTGGGGCTTGAACTCAGGACCTGGACACTGTCCCTGAGTTTTTTTACTCAAGTCTAGCACTCTCCAACTTGAGACACAGCTACACTTTTGGCTTTTGGGTAGTTCATTGGAGATAAGAGTCTTAGGGACTTTCCTGTCCAGGGTGGCTTCGAACTGAAACCCTCAAGTTTCAGCCTCCTAAGTAACTAGGATTATAGGCTTGATTATAGGTGCCTGGCTCAAACACTTTTTTCTTTTTTCTTTTTTTTTTTTGTCGGTCGTGGGGCCTGAACTCTGGGCCTGGGCGCTGTCCCTCAGCTCTTCAGCTCAAGGCGAGCGCTCTACCACTTGAGCTACAGCGCCGCTTCCGGTTTTCTGATGGCTTATTGGAGATAGGAGTCTCACAGTCTTTCCTGCCCGGGCTGGCTTTGAACCGTGATCCTCAGATCTCAGCCTCCTGAGTAGCTAGGATTACAGGCGTGAGCCACCAGCGCCCGGCCTCAAACACTTTTTTAAACTGACCTTGAGAAAGCTTGGAAGGTCCATCAGTTTCCTCAGAATTGCCTTCCTGCCCTCCTCAGAGCACGAGAGAGAGTGGGAGATCAGGAAGTCCAGCCAGAGCATTGCACAAGGCTGGGCCAGGAACTGGAAGAAACCGCCCCTGGCAGCTCTGTGGCCAGCGAGGATGGTTATCTTTCCAGGAAAGTCTTAGCATAATTCTTGGTTCTCTGTCTTGGAGAAAGTGGGGCAGACCAAGGAGAGGTGGAGTTATTCTGGGTAAGGATAGGAAGGAGGTGGACTTGAAGAACTGATCCTAGGAGGGGGTGAGGGGAGATGCAGCAGACTAACTCACCCCTGCTTGAGTTTTGCATTGTAACCATTGCAACCATGGATGTTGCCTTCGCTGCCTCTCCAGCCTCAGCGCCCTGGAAAGATCTCCTCATTCTGGTTCATCAGAGGCAGTGATGGGGTAAATAGATGGCCGCATTCCAAAGGTTCAGCAAGTGAGATGAACAATCTCTGAGCTTTTTTCCCCAATCACAACTGATGCTCTGTCACTCAAGCTATGTCTCAGTCCCATTTGGGATGGGGGGGGGGGGTTGTTGGCTGATTAAGTAGACATGGAGTCTTAAGGATTTTTCTGTTCCAGCTGGCTTCAAACCTCCATGGTTAGATCTCAACCTCCTGGGTAGCTAGGATTACAGGCACAAACTACCTTGCTCAGCCATTACAAGCAATGGGGCCCCCATCAGGAGATGAAATAGAAAGCTCCCTAACTCTGAGGAATTTATATTCTGGTGCGGGAGGTAA